ATGCCCCTGCCGGAGGCCATCTGGCTGGTGTTCCTAGTCGTATTCACCGTGTGGGTCGTCTCAAAACACTTCTTCTCTCAGCCGAAGGAGGAGATCAGACCATTGAAAATGCCTCTGCTCTGTGATGCAGTGTAAAAATAGCTAAGTTGTGGGTAGCATTATCTCCGAGCCCTCGTTCGTGTCGTGATGACACGAAAGCCTGCTAGACAAAGGGTTGTTGTTGCCAGCTACCACGTAACCCCCAAAGGCAGCAGGGGTGCATGCTGCAGTGATTGCCATAGGCCATAGACAAGAAAGCAGGCTTGAATTCGACGGGTTCATTGGCTCAGCAGCACCGCCCAGTTTAAAAGGTGGAAAAGCCGATGTTAGTGGGTGCCAAATTTGCCACCAAAACCGCAAGCAGTTGGAGGAAATCAATTCTGGCTGTACCGTTTCAGCTTGCGAATTCCGCATGTGGCACCCAAGATTCTAGCCTTGCATTGTCAAATTGCCAAGCAACATAACAGTGTTGCATAAACGGCAGCCGGACGAGATCAACCGACCATCGCACAAAAATAGTACTATAGTTTGATGTATTCCGGACACATCTCTTAAATCGGTGTCGGGCTGTTTGTCTTATTGTCAATCGCTGTGGTTGGTGGGTGCGAGCCATGAAAGCACCCAAAACAGACTAAGGCTTGCCACCCCCGTGAGCTCGAACCTGCAGCCTGAGCCCTCAAGAAGGCGAATCCGAAGACCCCCAGTTCAGAGTATGTAGGGCGTTTTATTTCTCAGGGTGTAGGGTTTGGGTTCCGGGAAGTCAGGGTTTAGGGATGTTTGGGGTTGAGGGTTCATTGGGCTTTCAGGTCACGTTCCTTATATAAATATCTTCGTATCTTGTAGCATTACTATCACCGGAACCCAATATTTCGCATCACCTGTCGGTGCCAGAGTAAATGTCATGTGGAAACTCCCTTCCCCGGCCCCAGGAGAATCCTCAAAGAGGGGCCTAAAGCCAACAAAAGCATGTCCCAGGAGGCAGGTGAAGAAGTCGACAGACACCGCGAGTCTTGCCTGTCTTTGCCAAGGCCTAGGCCTAGGCCCAGCTTCAGAGTGCAGTTCAAGACTACCCGGAAGCAGTTGGTTGATCGCGGATGCTTCGTTGTTCGTTTGGGGGTGGGGGCAGGGCGTTGGCCCTGAATACGCTGCCAAGGAAGCTTCACTGTTCGGGAAGGCGGGCCAGGCACTCTACAAGTGAAGGAATCTCAGTTGAGAAGGGCATACACAGTAGCGCTTGTGTCGCACGCTGCTCGGTTGAAGGGTAACAGTGACATGCGAGTGAAGACGGGTGTTTCCGGAGCCGAAATCCTCGAGACGGTGCCGGCGTCGACTTCCGTTGTGACTCAGCTACTATAAGGGCCAGGCTAATTATCAAAGTTATTCCTTTTCGTTCTGTGTTCTAATCAGTCGTGCTACACTATGCCCAAAACTCTACTCTGATGATTCAGGCCAAGAGCAGGCCCGCACTCTTCAGAGTCCTATTGGCCCGAAAGACTTGTCGGAGCTATGGCATCAGAAGCGCAGATGTCTCATGCAAGCTACTAAAAACCCAAAAGCCCTAAGCTAGACCATGCTCGACCATTCAGCTAACGTAAAAGGCAGTATTGATTCAGATTCGTGTTGTTTTCCAGGGTTGCAGGAGGTCTGCGGTGCCATGGACCTTGCAGCAGCCTCGCCGCGCAAGGTGCAACTTCAGCTGTCAGTGTACTGTTCTATCTGCTGCTGCTGCTGCTGTTGTTGTTGTTGTTGTCGTCGTCGATGTTGTTGTTGTTGCTGCTGCTCTCAGTATGCTCATGACTGCGAATGTGAATATGAGTACCATGATGATCGTGAGTATCTGTGCGATGACTGTTTTCATTGCTCGTGTCAATCTCATGGTGCAATTTGTATTGCAGCATCCCACTGCGTTGACATTTACTATCACTGATCACCACGGGAACCTAGCTTGCTTCAAAGAGGCCTGAGGGAAAAAACACTTGGCAGCATGCCACTACGCTGACTAGGGCGTGAGAGGATGTGACAGGCCATGACAGGCCTAGGAGTAGGGTTTAGGAGGGCTGTTGATCGGGTTTCATCAACGAGTCCTACGATTCCATCGAGTTTCGTGCGCTGAGCAAGGATCTGGCGTTACATAGAGCTTCGTTTTTCCGCCGAGAGACGGTCACATGCTGTGCTTGTGAGACTGTGTCCACTCCACTGGCCTCCGCCGAAGGATGCGGACAGCTCGCCCCCACCTAGCTTTGCCAGCGCCGCTTCGGCTGCACAGGTCCCAAATACGGGTTTTGTTCTGAAGCCACCTTCCTCTACAGACTTGTCACGCCGGTGCAGGACTTAGGCGACTGCCGATCCCTTTCGCAACCGGGGGCCAGTGACTGGATGTGTGGTAGGCAAGCAACCCTTAGGACATTCCGACTCCTGCAGACAGAACCCCCTAAACCCTAAACCCTTAGCCCTAAACCTCCCTCGAACGCCATGCCAGCCTTGAGCGAGTGTATGAGTCGAAACCTTAAACTCTTTTCTGCGAATCGCAAAATCCTAAACCCTCAACTCTAAGCTGGTCTGTCTCAGGCAGTGCTCCGACGGCTCTCTCACTTAGACTCTTGTCGGCAATAGAATTCCTGACTCACAGCTCCGTCTCGTGTCCTTGATACGATTCTGGGGTCAGGCCTGGTGTTTTGGTATCTCCATACTTCTTCTAGTCTGGTGAGAGAGCACCAGTGATGGATCATGGAGGGTACGTGTTGGTCGGTCTCTTTTCCTCCCTCTGCTTTCGGATTGGATTGCCGTGGGCAGCCTCGCAGTGCTGTTACTCGTCTAGCTTTTGCTGTCTTCATTGTTATCGGTGGTTTTGAGAGTGCCAGGGCTGGGTTATTGGTGTGCTGACACATGAAGATTGCGATGATGACTGCTGTGCTTCTTGTGGAGTTGCCGGTTCTTCATCTGCACTTTCCTTGTGTTGCACCTGTTTTTCGATCGCGACGAACACGGTTTCTCATATGCTGGCCGTTCGTGCTGATGTTTTCTCTTATTCTACTTCCCGCGCCGCTGTTCATGAAATGTTTCTGCACTACTGCTCTGTTGGTCATGTTGTTCGCCCCAGGCTGCTGAGGGTTCCAGTGGTTGCCGCCATGTTTGCTGGTTTTTCTGCCGCTCGCGCTCACGAAATGGAACCTCGCGAGTTCCAAAGCCTATATAAGCGGTCTGGGGTTTTGTTTTTGCTAGTTGAGGGGGGTATCCTTGCGATGGCACTTCGTGCTCCGTGCGTCTGCGCATGTGTTCATTGCTCGTCTTGTGCCCACTCATTGGAACTTCCGTGTCAGTTCCCGGCAGTGCGACTTGATTCTATATTAAAGTAGCCTAAGCCTCAGGGATCTTGGAGTCTTGGCGTGCATCATCCACCCTCCCGAGGAATCAAAGTTCTCCAGCCAGATCGCCAGGGCACAGCAAGAGGCCGGTTCAACCATACAACGTCAACAGATGACCTGCACAGGGGTCTTAAGGATATTGTTATGTCTTCGAGCTTATAGGAGCGTCCCTAATTTGGAGATCCCTGCATGTGTTCTTACAATATAACTACCCACCTTGTGCGAAGAGTAGGCAACCTTTGACCAACAAGAGGTACTACGATCTCTATATAATCCTAAAGGCAACCCCCCTAAGCCCGTTTACCTGTAGAGAAGCGTGTGAGGCAAAACCTACATAGTTTCTCCGTGAAGCTCTAAACCCTCTCTGCATTGCCCGAGTTGCGAGAGTCTAACCCCTAAACCCCTAAACCCCAAAACCCTAAACTCCTAAAACCCCTAAACCCTAAACTCCTAAAACCCCCAAACCCTAAACCCTAAACGAGCCGAAAAGCGAAAGCACCAGGCGGAGCGGCTCCGTGAGTCCACTTTGACCTGGGCTGTGGCGCTGGCTAAGGACCATTTTCGTCTGGGCTTTGGTCTAATATAGCATCATAGAGTATAGCACAATATAATATAACATAACATAATATAACATAATGTAACACAACATCATATAATATAAGGTCTTCGGTGGGTTTCGGTGGCTTTTCTGGTGGTTTTGGAGTTTGATTGAGGTTGGAATTAGGAAATATTACGTAGGGCTTTAGGCGCAACGAGCATGGAGGACCCGACGGCCACGGGGCGTAAATGCGTGTGAACGTCGATCATGATTTCAGGCAGAGGTCTCTGGAGTGGAGGTTTAGGGTTCATGCCGGCGCCCTCGCGGAGAATCTGAGGTCTCGGGGCTCAGTCGTGAGAACGTACAAGTCCTAAGCCCGATGTCACAAGCCACTCCAGACTGCAACAGGACGCCGCAATGGCAGAGCGTCGAGCCCAGAAGTACATCTTGAACTCCTGCTTGAGCCGGCAAGATGAGACACTTAGAATCAATGTAAAAACATGCAGGCATTACGAAACCGATGAAGTCGCAAATAAGCTGCACATACCTACATTCTTCAGGTATACTTTGTACCCTTCATCATCTCTGTTTGTCGTGCATATCTCATCATTCCGATTGAGCTTGAAGTGAAGCTGGCCGTCTTTTGCATCTTTGTGCTTCTCTTCATCCCATTCTCCACGTCTCGCTCTCCAGTTATCTCTATAGTCTGCACGTCTACAGCAAATGGATGGCAGCATGTACATACACGTTTGTGCATGCTTTGTCAAAGCATCTCTGGATGCCGAGGTATCCTTAAATGCCTGAAATCTCCGGACTCCATTCTTCACTTCCGGCGGTATGGGCGAAGATTCGTAAATCGATCTCCGGAACTTCGTGTATGTGCACCTCTTCGATGAACAGGTAGACACCCGACAGACATGATCAGGTCAGAAATATCTACATATATCCATATCTATATCCATGTCTATATCCCAATCTGTATCCCAATCTATACCCGTATCTGTAGCCGCAACCATATCTATAAATAGATTCACCTGTATGTCTGTTGTTCGGCTATGTGCCATACCATATTTATGTATGTGCCAAGGTATATGTACAGGCAACCTGCGATGCACGTACACAACAAAATCCACGACCGAGCTACACACATTTACACGTACACAAAGATATCTCCACCTACACTCGCCGCAACCCGAGAAGCAGTTACTTGCGGGCATCTCGGAGCTTCTGCCAGCTCAGATCAGCCCAGAGGATGCATGCATGCGCATGTTGATGCACGAACCAAGAGCGTTTAAAGTTGTCAGCGGCAGATTGGAAGAGAAACAATGAGAAATGATTGTCTCTGAGTGCTCCCCTTGGGACCGAGTGAAGAGAAAGGAATACCGAAGATCCAGCTTGCATGAGGCACTCTCTTCTCAAGGTGTACGGCATTTCCTGGAGTGTTCTGCATGTGCAAATACTGGTCGAAAGAGACTTTGCACTCTGTAGAGGAACGCAGCATTCAGATGGTGACCCTCGTTGAAACGTTGCTTGCAGAATCTCATTTGCAGGCACATGTCCCTGCATACTTGCATGTGTATGCCTGCATGACTGTATGCTGGTATGCTTGTATGCCTGTGTGCTTGCCTGCATGTCTGTATGCATGCATGTATGTATGTACGTACACATATAGGTGCATGTATGTATGTCTGCATGTGTGTACATATGTATTCACGTATGAAAGAATGTATACAAATGAGTATGTGTGTAAATGAGTATGACGTATGCATGCGTGCATGGATCTTCCAAGCTGCCCAGGTTTTCATTTATTATGAAGGGCATGTCCGAGGTATTGCAATCGTGGCTCGGCAAAACTCAGCTTCCCTTATAGTGTCAGGCTTCAGCTTGCAAGCCCAAAGACACGCAGCCCTGAAGTTGCGCCTGTGCACGCGGGACTTGGATTCCCTGCTGTAATCATCTGCAATCTATAACCCCTAGTCCCGCAACTGAGACCATAAATAGGAGCCTACATGGCAGTAAATCCAAAGGCGGCAGAAACTTCAACCCTAAACTCGCTGCCGAGGCAGCTGCGCAGAATGGACCACCTCGAGGTGCGACCGGTGCAAGACAGTTGCCGGGATGCTGCAATCAACTATCCCAGGGAGACGAAAGGCGAGGGTAACTTTCGTCGCCCGAGTTCGGGAAACGAGCCCAAACCCACGAACCCTAAGATGCTTGTCGCCAGAGTAGCATTTTGTAAGCGAGGCACAGATATTCCAAGATTGCCGAAGGCCGGCCCGATCCGGCGTCGTGAACCTTACCCCGCCCTCATTTTTTTTTCGTGGTGTTTGGGCCGAACCGCACAGAGACTCGTCCTCATACTGATCATCGTGGTAGCTGTCGTGGTCATCGTCGTCCTCATCATACCACTACCACAACCAACGTCGTTGTTGTACACTATCATCAACACCTTACCACCACCCCTTTCGGCGCCGTGCTCGTCCCCCCTCTCATAAGCACCGTGCCACCCAGTTACACCATGAGGCTTTTAACTCTAAACCCGAAACCCTCAAGCAAATCCTACTTCACAAAAACGATCAGGGTTTGTGGTCGGTGGAGGGTGTGATTCTTTACGACTTCGAAACTTAACAGCAAAGCCCCTGTCCGGTAAGCTTGTTTATGAGCTGTGCCCCGGCAGCAATCATAGGAAGACTATTGCATAGTACTGGTAGTAGTAACTATTATAGCAGTTTTTGCACTAGTAATATAGTAGTAATAATATATTTGATATTCCCAAGGCTTTTTGACCGCAGAGCTCAACCCCAAAATTGCAAACTCCACCCGGCTTCAGGCTCAGTGGCGCGAGGCGGAGCCACTGCATTGGTCAAAGGTGCGTTGGGGCTTCGGGTTTAGGGCTTTAGGGGCAGATTCCTTCTCAGTCGCCTAAAAAGCCCCCGATCCGACGCATTACGGTTACGGTGATGCTGATGAGTCTGATGCCGCTGCGACTCGTGGTGGTCATGGTGGTGTTGTCCATGTGTCTCCTGCAACCTCATTTGGAACTTTACCCGCGTCGTCACCTGTTTGGTTGTGGCTTTCTCGTTTGGGGGCTGGGCTGCTGTGACTGCGGTGGAGATGATCGGGGAGAGCTTGTCACTGTCGAGCTCCAGCCTATGCAGCCTTACGTGCGTGACCAGAAGTCCCATGCCCCCATGGAGGTGCCTGTGCCGGACTGCGACACCACCAGCATCCAGGGCCGCCTGTGCCAAGGGGAGGCGCCGCGGAGGTGGTGGTGTTTGCAAGCTAATACGGATCCTCACGATGTTGATGATGTTTGTCTTGATGATGATGATGATGATGATGATTATGCTGTTTGCTTGAGAGTGGTCCGGTGCAGAACCTGTAGCGAGGCCTTGAAGAACCGGCACTTCGACGGTCGAGAGAAACGGGAGAGACACTCCTTGATTTCCGAGAACTCTCCAGATGCACTTGCCGGAAGATTTGGGTTCTGGTGCCAGTCTGGTCTTTCTTCGTGCCTGTGGTCGTCTTGTGACACCTTCCCTGGACAGACATCGCACTGTTGACAGAGGCTCTGCACTCATGTCACACGGCGCAACATTGCAAAGTCCCTTCGTTCTGCGCAGCTCCTCGAGATGAGTCCAACGGGAAATCCAACCGCACTGAGCAAGTGGCGCCCGATATTCTCGAATGCTCTGCCCTGAATAGCTGCTGGGCAGCACATCAGCGTTGCATAGGCGACAGCCAGGCAGCGTCTATGCCAAAGGCATGCACGTATCTGCAAGTACTGCCAGGATAGTGAAGCTGGTTAAGGGGTGGATGAAGAGGAAAAGGAAAAATACGAAGAAGAAGAAGAAGATGATGTTTATGATGACGATGATGAAGATGCTGATGATCGCGATAAGACGTGTCGCTTCGGAACTCGAGCCTGTGCTCAGAGAGGTCCGGGACGGTTCAAAAGACGAAGGTGCGGTTTTGGGGTTTAGGGGGTTCCCTAAACCAAATTACTAAACTGAACCCTAAACCTTAAGCCCTGGGCCCCTAGAGGTGCCGGTGCGGGACTTCCAAACCAGCGGCCTCCAGGGTCGCCTTTGCCAGGTGGAGGCCTGGAGACCAGGGGGGGGGGGGTCTCGACACCGGAGGATTCCAATTCCTGCGAGGAATTTCCTCCGCTCTTCTAGTCTAGGCTTCCCGGCTGATTTTGGCAAAGGCTGGGTTCAACAAACCGATGGCGCTATTTCTATTGCTGCGATAGTTCGTCGTGGAAAGGATGACGAAAGGTGGTGAGGTATGTGGTGACGATGTCGTCACTGCTGCTCCTGCTGCTTCTACCTCGTGACGATGATGGGTGAGTAGTAAGTAGTGAAGCTAATAGTGGTGATGACGCTAGATGAATGCTATTGGGTTTGCTGATTGCTGTTGAGGACGAGGATGATGCTGATTGATGATGATGGTGGTGCTGATTTGCAGGGTTCTATCGACGGGAGTTATTATGGCGATGGTGATTCTGGTGACGATGACGGCCCCTGTTTTTTGGGTTTTATTTTGTTGCATACCATACGCATGCTGTGTAGGGCTTTGGGGGAGGAGTATATAAGCGCTGGGTTGTCAGTGTTTTCATATTAAGCGCGAAAAGTTAAAGGGCAACCGCAATGCAAACTGTAAGGCGTGTAGCACCTGGCCTGATGTTGATCCATGGAACGCGGTCCAGCTCTGTGCCATCATCATCAGAACTTTTGCTCTGTTGCCAGCCGTGATGATTTCGATGCTACCTACCTTCGGCACCAGCGCAGCAAACCCACATGCACATGGTGGTCAGATGGAGTGCGACCTGGTTCTTGCCAGGAACCTTGGGCTCAGACATTGAAGCTGCATGCAAGCCATCGGCTGCCAGATGAGCACGCGGTGCACGTCGTGGGCCACCCGCCAGAGCCACATGGTCATGTTCATGCTGCAGCACATGATGCTGCACTATGCCATTGCCGGATTCCGGGCCCAAGCTCTCACACTCCAATGACTCTAATGCGTAAATCTTCAACACCTCTGGCTTTAGGCATTGAAACCTGAACCCGGAATGCCGAGACACTCAACCCCAGACCGTGGGGCTTTGCAGAGGCATTCAGGTTCCTGGGCCTCCCAAACTCGGATACTCAGAGATCGTGCGCCCCTAATTCGTGTTTCGCTTCTGCGTCCCTTGCTTGCAAAGATGCACTTCGGTATCCTAAATCCTGCACGTGATTGGTATGTTATTCTGGAAACAGGAGCTGCTAGAGCGGTGCTGTCAGCACGAAGAGGCCGCTTCTGCACAGCGCCGGTCAGGGTTTGGAGTCTAGATTTTCCCGATTCAAGCTTTCTTGCGAGGTTTTGGCCAGAGGAGTTTGGGCTTGGGGGAGATTTTGTGGTTCAAACTTTGAGAAGTCTCCTGCGAGGATTTAGAACTGGTTCTGGAATTTGGGTTTTTGGTTTTGGGTTTGGTTTGGGTTGGATTGGCAGATTCAGGGTTTGCATAGGATTTGGTTGTGTTCTTTTTCCAATCCGCATGCTTCATATCGATGGTGTTTGGGCTTTCAAGGTGGTCAGGCTGTCCCAGCTGCAACGGGTGGTTCAGATTTTTGGGGGATAGGACTTTCGAGAGAGGTTGGCTTGTGAGGCTTCGGCCTGTTACAGAGAGACCCAAGAGTGAAACCCTAAAGGCCCTAAAGCCCAAATAACCCCTAAACCCTCTAAGACGTATGACAGCACCAAGTGCAGCAGAGGCGTTGGAAAGAGCGAAGGCTGTGAGAGCAACCGCATCGGGCTTGAACAGTCTAACAGCGACAACAGCCGTGAGAGTCGTCGTCGTCGTCGTCGTAGAGTCACAAGCACAGTAGTAGTCACAGTCGTATTTGCAGCAGTAGCAGCAGCAGTGGTAGCAGCTACAGTGGCAAACCATGATAGCACTAGCACCAAGAAGAACAGCAGAGAACGCCCGCCACAGGCTCTGGGCTCGGAGCTCCTGCAGCTGGCAAGGAGGTGCTGGGAGAGTTGTGTGTGGGCAGTGGAATGGTGGGCTTGGGGCTAAGATATCGGGATCTAGGGATGTACGGCTTTTTCGGTTCTTCACAGCTTGGGGTTTGCAGAGCGTTTTCGTTGTGGGCTTGCGGGCCAATAGGCCCCTGCATCCCGAGCATTCCGTACACCGTGGAACTCCATTGCAAATTTAGACGCCCCTGGTTTGAACTCAGGGCCCAGGTTTGTTTGCCCTGGGAAGGCTTCTCGAAGTGGAGCTTGTGCGCGATGCCGCCTCGCAAAGTGCGGCCAAAGACGTAGGAGGAGGCGCTCCGGAGCAGAGCGGGTAGGATTGGAGCTGTTCCGGCTTTATGAGTTCCGGGATACTGATAATCTTTGGGAATCGAATGTTCAGATTTAGGGATTCGTGGGTTTACTTCAAGGATCTAGGTTTGGGGTCCAGAGAATTGTATAAGTAAGCCTGGACAACAAGATTTAACAAGTGTGAGCGTCAAAAACCGCAGTATCAGCACCCTGCTGTCTCCACCAACACCATCCTCCTCCTCCTGCTGCTCCTCCTCCTTCCTCATGGAAACGAGTGTCGCCGCTGTCACCCACCATTCCCGTCATCACCGTCACAACCATCATCATCAGCATCAGCATCAGCACAGCATCAGCATCAGCATCAGCATCAGGATCGGCATCGGCATCAGCATCACCATCACCATCACCAGCATCATCACCATCACCATCACCAGCATCATCACCATCACCATCACCAGCATCAGCATCAGCATCATCATCATCATCATTTTCATCATCATTTCAGCATCATTTCATCATCATTTTCATCATCATCACCATCATCATGGTCATCATCATCACCATCATCATGGTCATCATCATCACCACCATCATGGTCATCATCATCATCACCATCATCACCATAGCAGCAACATCAACACGACCTCCAACGAAATCACCATCATCATCATCATCGCTACGACCACCAGCATGGACATCTTCACAACCCCATGATATTTCCGGTCATAGGTTTCATTGATACCCTGGCCTCGTGGGTGGCAATGACTCAAGCCAAGGGTAGAGCGGGACTTGTTGCAAAAGACTCCTCGCCTTGGGCAAATCTCGGTCGAGGCCATGGTGAGCAGGAAGCAAACCTGGAGGCCATGTTGTCGCTCCTCGACAGCACGTTGACCCATGCAGAAGCTGGCAAGTTCCGGTGATATTTGGAAGCCAAGGGGTGGCTGGAAACAGCATACTTACTTGACCACAAACAAGCACTTCTGACAAAAGACAAATCGAGCCAAATACAGGGTTCATGCCATTGATACGTATGATATGGCAACCGCAGTAGAGGAGTAGGAAGTGGAGGACTGGAGGGGGAGCGCAACAGCAGCAGTACCACAACGGTAGAAGCCATGTAGGTATAAGCGAACTGACAAATATTTTTTCAATATTACGCACAAGAAAATATTTGCACCCAAGGCGTCAAGTAGTCATTCTGGAAACATGAGGCGACGTCCATATGCCTTTTTCGAATCACGAGCTACTAACAAACCACCAACTCACTTTCGTGTTGGCTTCAGATACTGCAAGCATCCGTAATCGCACCGAACTTGCAGCGAGACGGCAGTCACGACGACAACCAGGATGACATCGTCGACGACGGCAACGATGTTGCTGCCGATGGCAATGATGATAATTGGGTCGACTATTAGTGTTGTTTTACAGCTATCACTATTACAATGGTGATAGTCATTATTGTGATTATTGTCATTGCTGTTGTTCTGCTTCTTCTGGGCTTATTCTCATTTTCACTATCGGTATTAGCATGGCTACTGGTGCAATTGTCATGTTATCATTTTTAGGCTTATTGTTATGACTGTTGATGTTCCGGTTATGTTGCTATTGAGGATGTCGTCGTCGTTGTTGTTGTCGTTGATGTTGTTGCAGAGGTGGTTGTTGTGTCTTGTATGCTGCATGATGTTGCTGTTTGTTGCAGGTTATTTTTGGTTTGTGATCTTTGGTATATAAATTGTGGTTTGTGGTTGTTGCTCGTTGTTTGTTGTTTGGCTGCTGTCGTCATTGTTGTCGTTGATAACTTGGCTGCTGGTGGTGTTGTTGTTGTGGTTGCTGTTGGTGCTGGTGTTGGTACTGGTGCCGGTGTTTCTGCTGCTCTTTTTCGTGGTCGTTTTCTTCTTGTTCTTGCTCTGGTTGTTCTCGTTTCTGCTTNNTGTGGTTGTGGGTTGTGGTATGTTATACGTTGTATGTTTTATGCGGTTTGCGGTTTATGGTTTGTTGCAGTATATAGCTCTGGCCGCGTGTCTTCGCGTGCGTCTTCGTGTGGCAGCAGGTGCCCTAGCAAAGCTCCACCCCCGTGCCAAGGTCCATGCAGCTGAAGATCGACGTCTTGCAGCAGGCGTTTCCGACTTGAGCCTGAAAAGCCATCAGCCTTACTTAGCCTTAATAATTAGACCCTTTTTTCCGACATTTGCACTTTATTCAGGTAGTTTCACGACCCTTTCTCAGAACGCACCCCTGGCAGGATCCACCGAATGACTTGCATGAGTCTCATTTCTGTTTCCTGCTGCACGGAGGATTCCGGTGACGGCCCTGCAGTCCTGCTATCCTCATTGGAATTATGAGATCCCAGAGAGCTCCTTTGGTGACTTTAGGTTTGGGTCGCTACACCCCGAGGTTCCCCGGAGCCTGGCATTTGCAACTGCAGAGGACTCCCACGATCTTCAAGCGAGGGTGGAGGCTCAAGAGGAAAGAGGCCCCTGTGGCTGTTGCGGTTGGGGTCACGTATATAGTATTTCGACTGTCACTGTGACTGCGACTGCTGCTGCTAC